GTATACATGTATACAGCAAGTATATAACTAAAACAAAAAAGTAAAAGCATTTAAAACATTTAAAATTACAGAATTAAAATCAACACAACATCCATTCCATCAAATGGGGCTGGAAATTAATCAACAGCCCAGGCCTGCCGGAACAGCCAGGTCTTGGTCGCTTTACGGAAGGCCGGGAGAGTGGTGAGGGTCCGGATCTCAGACTGGTTCCTGCAACATTATCCTGGGACACAAATATTTGCATTCATTCTTCATTTACTTTTATTACATTTATATGGCATTCATCTCACTATTGAGCGACTCATTCACCAACTATGGATCAGCCACTCTCCTTTAGACTAATTTAACTAATCAAGTCGATACAGAATTATCTTTTTCTCTTCCAAGAAAAAGAATACAGATTGAACAGTAATCATACCAAGGAACTGATCTTCTGGATTTTAGATTATCTGTCATTCATAGATCAGATCAAAACATTTCTAATGAGCTGTGAGGAACATACATTCCATGTAACCATTTACACATTTACCTTTGCGCTTTCAGGGATTTATCAAAGCGAAAATTAGATGGATACTGATGAACTGTGATTAAGTGATCCTTGCGGTCTTTGCTGCTCTTGAATTTCTCTGGACAGCTTTCCACCAAGCACTGGTACTGCAAAGAAGCAGAAAAGCCAATAAGATGGTTGATCAGTATTCTGTACTCTTTTCTTCGAAGTTATTAGTGTACTGTTAGGGACTGTACTGGCAGAACATAAGTTTGATCTTCCCAACTCAAGTAACAAGTTTAGGGATGGTCTTAGTGTCATCAGCTGACAGAGCTAACAATACCATATTTTTCAAAAAGAGGCTGAAAATCTGGGTGCGTCTTATGCACTGAATACAGTATTTTTGCCTCCTGAAAACCCGCCCCCTTCACCAAAATGGCTGTGCATAGCCTTTAGGAGGCTTGTAGAGTGCTCCTGGAGGCTGGGGAGGGCAGAAATGAGTGAAAAACGGGCTGTTTTTTGCTCAATTTTAAACCCCCCTCCAGCCCCCAGGAGCACTCTGCAAGACTCCTAAAGGCTATGCATGCCATTTTTGACAAAAAAGGGCCTGTTTTTGCAAAATAAATGGCCATTTTTGCTCGTTTTGGGGGGACACCCCCCAGGAGCACTCTACAAGCCTCCTAAAGGCTATTCGTGCCTTTATTTTTTAAACAGCCCTTTTTCACGAAAAACGGGCTGTTTTTGGGAGGTTTGCAGAGTGCCAAAACTTTTTTTTAATTTGCCTCTTCAAAATCTTGGTGCGCCTTATACTCCAAAAATACGGTAGTTCATGAACCCATGAAGTGAACTAACCATGAGGTAGTTTTACTGTTTTCAATACCCAAGAGAAAAGTGAACTACAAGCACTGCTTATGCTCTTGGATTTTTTTTATAACTAAAAATGGTGGTTATGCTGGTTACCAAGAATGGTAACATTCTTGATTACAAAATTATTGCAGCTGTTAATATAACAGCTTTATGATTTATGTTTGTACTGAACCTACTGAACAACAGGCAATCTATAGGTCTCATGGCCATTTACCATATTCTGCTTCTCTGCCATTATCTGGAAAAGGGAATCATGCCACTCCAAAATGTGAACATCTAACAAATGCGTTGAAGGGAAGGCTCGTTTGCAAGAAGAACACACATTCCTGTGCAGCATGTTGTAATGATGTTCATAGCTCTCCAAGGTGTTGAAAACCTGGCAGCATCCATCAATTTGGCAAGAAAATTCAGAGGTTCTGAAAGAAAACACAGAAAACAAGTCTTTACCAGATTGCAACATTCTAGAAAGATTGTGTTTAGGTTTAGGTTTGTTAGATTTATATGCCACCCTTCTCCCAANGCAAAAACGGGCTTGTTTTTTTGTCAAAAATAGGGCATGGATAGCCTTTAGGAAGCTTAAAGAGCGCTCCTGGGGGTGGGGTGGGGGAAAAATTGAGCAAAAAAACACCCTGTTTTTTGCTCATTTCTTCCCTCCCCAGCTCCCAGGAGCTCACTGAAAGCCTCCTACAAGCTACGCATGGCCATTTTCGCAAAGGGGGTGGGGTTTTAAGAGGCAAAAAATGCTGTATTCAGTGTATAAGACGCACCCAGATTTTCAGCCTCTTGAGGAGTCTTATACGCCAAAAAATACGGTAAGTCATGTTTTTAGAGCCACTGAAAGGTCACTAAATGAACTGTTGTAAGTTGAAGACTACCTATATTGCAGACACAGGCAGGCAAACAACTTTTTGTATTTGTCAGCCATTGCTGCTTTGAAGGATTTCTGAAGTATATTGGCATCAGTAACCAGATGGAGGACCGTGGGCCAGTTATCTCTCTCAGCCCAATACACCTCACAGGGCTCTTGTTGGGGGTAGGTGGGTGAGGAAGAACACAGGTTGGATACGTTTGCCCTCTTGAGTTGTTTATGAACATCATAAAGACAGTATATAAATAAATAAATAAAATAAAGAATAAATTTTAAAAACCACCTTATAGCAGCAGAGCGAGAAGTCATTCTCAAAAACGGTGCAAAATAACTACTTAGAAGCATTTCAAAGTAAGCTTATACCCATTCAGGCACAACAGAGTTAAATCTGAACCCAACAACTCCCAATGCACCTGTATCTCCTGAATTGTCTGATATTATCTAATATTTAGCAACACGGCAGCCTACTTTACAATGTTGGTGTAAAGATCAGGATAGTTGTACAGCACAGGTGCTGTTTTATTATTATAAGAGTTCCACACCCTATAATTTGAAATGATCTAGAAACAGACCTGGGCTATTTCTAACACATAGGGGAGATAGTGTTCTAGTGGTTATTCTTCCCCTGTTCCTGCCAACCTAGCTGTTCAAAAGCATGCACATGTGAGTAGATAAATAGGTATCACTTTGGTGGGAAGGTAACAAAGTTCCATGCACCAAAGTGAAGCATGACTGCAGAAGAATCTTTGGACAATGCTTGCTCCCTCAGCTAGGAAACGGAGATGGGCACACACACCCCAAAGTCGGATACGACTGGACAGGGGAAACCTTTACCTTTATTTCTGACACTTTAAATGGAGTTGGACTACAACAACCACGTCAGAAGTAGCATTTTGCAGCTCCTACTAAAATACCTCCATTTGGGAAGGGCAGGAACCAGTTCCAATATTTAACTAGCTTTGCCTCTGTTCATTTCCCTGACTTCCTAGTAAATGAAGCCGGAGCTTTGCTCTAGTTTTAAGGCACTTTTCTGCTGATGAAATTCCTCCTGGCTGTCATATTCAGCTTTTCTTTTTTCTGCCTTTGAAGACACGGGTAGCCCCTTGCCCAAAACAAATAGTGGATGGAATTCTGAAAGACAAAATGCGACAACAGTGCAACCTGGCTTAGTTATAGTAATACAATAAACAACTGAATACAGGCTAACAAGTCCTCCTAAAGCAGAATTCTCCAACTTTTCCAGCTTTGCAGAGTAGCAGGGGCAGGGAGAGAGGGGGTGGTATAGCTCCATTTGTGCAAGTGGTGGGCACATGCACCTGCCATTTGCACAAATGAAGCAT